TAACAGTCAACCAAACCGAGCCCGCAAAAAACCTTTTTAATTTTGGTTTGGCTTTTTTTAAGGGATTCTTTTTTATTATTTTATAATGAATTCTTTTCTTTGGATGACTCATTACGCCTTAAAAGAATGAATTAAATTTTACGCTATTAAATAAAATTCTAAAAAGAAAGTATGAGTTTCTAATTTTTTCTAATATCATTAATTGAAAGCAAGAAAAAAAAAACAGGTTCACAAAAGGATACCTACCCTAACGTTTACGGACCCAAGGGCCCGTTTCCGCCAACATTTTTTCAAAACAAAAAAAAAACAAATAAATCTCACCAAAAAAGATCGTTTTCATAACAGAAAAAATGGATGTTTTTTACAGGCAAAGTGTCATATAATATCCGAATTTACGAAGAATTTTCGATATTTTAAAGTGTGCTATTTTTAGTAACAGATCGATATTGAAAAGGGCGAACCTAGGTAGAGTAGGACTCATTGCAGTGTGAAAGTTAATATCAATTTATTTTGATTCCGTTGACAATTTAATAGATTAGCTCACATATTTTTAATTCATTTTGACCTTTTGACGTTTCATTTTTGTTAAAATAGGAGTGAATCGCGTATAAGTAGGAATACGTTTTTAGAGATGCTGCACGTTGAGTGTGAGATAAGCCCATATGAGATAAGATTTTCCAACACCGCTATTTTTAGTAACATTTACGGATTTTTCTATCTGGTTAGTGAGAAATTTCAATAAAACACTGGAAAGCATGAAATAAATTTCAATCTTACATACAAAACAAACAAATATCCTATTTATTCCATTTTATCAGTGAAGGTTTTTCAAAAGTTGCTTTTATTTGCAGGGTTTTCTATATGCAGAGGTGGTCAAACACATTCAAGTTTGACTGTATTTTGCTTTGCTGTTTTGTTCCAGGACCGGTTTGTTCAATATCTTAATATGATATACCCAAATTTTAAGGAACTGAACAAACATTATGTGATTTTAGCACATGTTGATCTGTTTTTTGGATAGTATCTATGATCAATGTCATCACAGAAAATCATGTCTTCATTCAAGGCAAAACTCTAAGCTATCCCGAGGCTTAGGTTTTGGACCGTCCCAAACTAGGCAATTTAAAGTTCGGTTTATTCTTTCTGGGAAATATGAACAAGTATACATGATTGTAGTAAAAACTTGTTTGTGTTGAAGCAAAACATGGAACATATATGAGTTGGTTCTTTTCAAAGCTGCTTTAAAAAGTATGAAAATCGACTTCTCTTATAATTACATTTCTTCATAAATTCTTTAGATTATTTAAATTGTATATCCTTTACAAAATCACAAAAAAGTCGTCCTAGGAATGTAATGATATATATTAATAATTTTTAGTATTTGCCGCCTTAAAAGTTTTTTTTTATTTCAGCAAATAACTGCAACTACCACAGCATATTAATTATCGGGCATTTAATCACATTAATGTACAACACATGCGCTATTTGTCGGTGCACGACGCGAACTCTCGTTAAACAGCCATTCTTCCATAAATGAAGCATTTTCGGTTCACAAAAAAACAACAAATAATCTCACTTTAATAAACAACTACGGTGGCACAAATTAAGGTACGGTGGCACAAAGGTGACATGTGTGCGTTTTTATTTATCTCGTGCGCATGAGATACTATGTCGTGGCCACGAGATAGGTAAGTCGTGGGAACGAGATGCTATGTCGTGGCCACGAGTTACTATGTTTTGGCCATGAGATAGTTAAGTCGTGGGAACGAGATACTATGACGTGGCTACGAGTTACTAAGTCGTGGCCACGAGTTACTAAGTCGTGGCCACGAGATAAATAACCAATCAGATTATGTACACCATGTATATGAATTTTCCCAATTAACTAGACATGTGGTATTGTACAAGCATGCCCCTACTTCACCTGCATGTAAAAGTGCCATTTATACACGTTATTGATTTGTCATTTAGCGTCATTGTGACCCGATTTTTGACCCAATGACCTCGAAATTATTAGGTGTCATCTACTAATCAGGAGCAATCTCGTTCCTACGACTTATTTATCTCGTGGTCACGACTTAGTAACTCGTGGCCACGACATAGTATCTCGTGCGCACGAGATAAATAAACACACACATGTCTCCTTTGTGTCACCGTAGTATATACTGTACCGGAAAATAGTCGTTATGAAAACATAGTAAAATAAGACTTCTGCAGGTCACAGTGCTCCATTGTTTGTGCAAATACATTTTGTTCTTTTTCATTTTAAGAAATACAAAACAATATTTCAAAATCTTTATTTGATTGGTATAATGTTTATTTAAAAGAATACGCCCGTTACGGAGGCATAACATTTTAAACGCTACATTTGCAGGTTAATTGTGTACCGCAGGAGTCTAATTCCAATTCTAACACTATCGGAATTTTTTCTATATAAACAAAGAAGGCCCGAAGCGTGCATTATTCTACAGCAATGCACTCGCCGTTCTTATTATCTCCCCGTGTATTTTCACATTGAGGGCGCCATTTTGTTTGAAAAATGTGTTCAATAAAAACAATTTTTTGTCGAATTTTGCTGTGAAAACTATCTAGGATGAAAGGAAAAGGTCTAACTAAGAAAATGAATCCGAACACTTATAGCTTTAATTCAGTCGTTAACGCTGTACAGACGTTTAAAGTGCTGTTTACGTGACGTCACAATGTAGCGCCAAACATCACGTGCAAAACAATCAAATCAAGTACGCTATTTTAATGTCGCAAACGAGTTACGTTTTACATTTATTTCACTTTTAATAATTTGTATTTCGCTTGAAAAGTTATAGGGTGAAATAAAATAAACAAACAAGGTTTTATCAAAGTTTTCAAAATTCGTTATTCTGAAAATGTTTCTACACACGGTAGATTTAACGACAGTTTTGTTTCAACCCACTGGAACAGCCTTTAAAGAACGTTTCTATTGGTAAAACAAATTCAACCACCAAACATAAAGTCCAACTTTATAATAATAATTATATTTTTTCTTGACGTGTTAGAATGGAAATAGATATTAATTCTTCGTGCATTATTGTATAATAATGCACGTTTTTCGTTCAAATGCTTTGTAATTAATCACTCAGGCCTATCGGCCTTCGTGATTATATTACTACGCATTTGAACTCAAACCGTGCATTATTCTACATTCTAACACTATCGGAAATTTTTCTATATAAACAAAGAAGGCCCGAAGCGTGCATTATTCTGCAACAATGCACTCGCCGTTCTTATTATCTCCCTGTGTATTTTCACATTGAGGGCGCCATTTTGTTTGAAAAATCTGATAAATAACAACAATTTTTTGTCGAATTTTGTTGTGAAAACTATCTAGAATGAAAGAAAAAGGTTTAACTAAGAAAATTAATCCGAACACCAATATCTTTAATTCAGTCATTAACGCTGTACAGACGTTTAAAGTGTTGTTTACGTGATGTCACAATGATGCGCCAAACAGAACGTGAAAAACAATCAAAATCAAGTTCGCTATTTTAACGTCGCAGACGAGTTAAGTTTTACATTTATTTCACTTTTAATAATTTGTATTTCGCTTGGAAAATTATAGACTGAAATAAAATAAACAAACAAAGTTTTATCAACGTTTTCAAAATTCGTTATTTTCAAAATGTTTCTACACACGGTAGATTTAACGACAGTGTTTTTTTCAACCCACTGGAACGGCCTTTAAAGAACGTTTCTATTGGAAACTCTGAGGCGAAAACAAATTCAACCGCCAAACATAAAGTCCAACTTTATAATAATAATTATATTTTTTCTTGACGTGTTAGAATGGAAATAGATATTAATTCTTCGTGCATTATTGTATAATGCACGTTTTTCGTTCAAATGCTTTGTAATTAATCACTCAGGCCTATCGGCCTTCGTGATTATATTACTACGCATTTGAACTCAAACCGTGCATTATTCTACAACAATGCACTCAGAATTGATATCTATTTCCTAATTCTAACACGACCCGCATTTTTCCCTATTGAACAAAGAAGAACCGAAAGTGTGTGTTATTATGCAATAGAGTCACTGTTTGACGTTCTATATTTAGACATGTGACGTAATCATTATACATGTGACGTAACCACTATAAAATCCGACGCGCTGACAATAAGTACGGAAACAAATCAGGCGCAATTTTGTTTAATAGCAGGTACGGCAGCATTTATTTATTTATGTCGTGTTAGAATCGAAATAATATATCCAAATCGGTGATTTTATCTCTGGATAACATCACTGTTTGTCGTTCGGATGCGCATCATTATATCACTGGGGCTACTCCCTCGTGATATAATTCCTCGCATCCGAAATCCAAACAGTGATGTTATTGAGCGATAAAATCACAGTTTGGGATATATTATTTCTTAAACAATGCACTCAGAATTGATATCTATTTCCTAAATATACAAATGTAGTCTTTTAATTGATATTGTTATGAGTACAAATTTAAAAGAATATAAAACATCTCAATATTGTAAGAGTCCTATGTTCGTACCATAGTCGCATTTCGGAGAATGCAGAATTAAAAAATCGTGCACAAAAAGAGTCTCTTTCTCGAAATTCTGATGTAATTCTTAATCAATACTCGATTGATTTCAGGCAAAACATATTGGAAAACATTAAAATGGATTCTTTTTTCAAGCTATAATTGGACAAGCGACAGCGACTTTTTGCGGTTACGATTGCTTTTCAGTTAAACACAAATGAAAAAAACTTTGAGTAGCATGCTGAAAACATGACAGTGTAAATGTTAGTCGAAAAAGCAATAGGCTAGTCTGACCTATAATGTTATCTGCGATGAAAGCCGAATAGTTACGACTTACTTAGTCTGGTCCCCTGCGCACTTCTAAAAAGTATTCGAACCTAAATAGGACAGGAAACCAGATTACGACTTACTTAAATCTGGTTCCCATCTCTGGTATTCTATAAAGTGCGGGAATCATATAAGGACAAGGAACCAGATTCTCGGAAAGTCCGTGTTACTAAAAATAATCTGACGTAATTTTGGATTTTCCAGTCTCCTACGGTAATTTCCTCTAAAAGAAGTAATTTTGAAATGAATCTCTGTACTCAGTAATATGGAGGGTAGAATTTTATCAAAAGTCGAAGATGTTGAATCAGATGGAGGAACATTGGCTTGGCATGCGATTAAATTCAGTAAGATTATTATTCTTTGACGAATTATAACAACGATTCGCCCCAAACCGATTCGCCCCACTTCTTCGTATAGACACCTTCCGGTTTATATTAATACTGGCGCAATGGAGTGCATGAACTGTCTCTTTACATACATGTAAGTGATATAAATAGTGCAGTCAAAAGATAAACTCAATATCGAGTCTATCATAAGTCACAACAGTGCCTCTTAATTTAAATGCTCTTGCTTGTAAACTTCTCTTAAATAAAATGGGGAACAAGACACTTCACCCCTAGAACAGTGCATTACACACTTCACCCATCAAGACAGTTCAATAGTATCAAATAACACATAAAGGCATCAATAAAGTCATGTAAATTTTGCTTTGATTAAATGAATGCAAAGAATTACTGTCTAGGATGGCATCTTCAAACATTTAAGCACCCTAACAGTGAAGAAGCCCTTATTTTTAAAGATTTTAGCATTTGATATTCAATATTTTCATTAACTTTCAATTGGGAATTTGTTCTTGTGGATTGGGAAAATAATATACTATTTTCAATTGGGATATGACCAATAATTGGCTATGAAATAAGCTCAAAAAGTGCCTGTGTTGAAATTAATGATAATATTACAGTTGCATGAAATCACACTAAATTCACTAGATTCACCAAGAATAAGAAGTAATATTTCAGATTTTGTTACTGTTACATAGTTTCTATTGATAATAATATATTAATATAGTTTTTTTAAAGGAATGTTTAAAATAAGATTTTATTAATATAATTGATTTATCATTTTCCCTTTTTTATACTTTGTGAAATTAATAATTTCTATCAATATATGAAATATATGAAATTAATAATTTCTGTCAATATACATGTAATTTCATTATTAGAATTATGGTTAAAATGGTAGAAATAAAAATATTTTATTGATTTTATTATTAAAATAACTAGAGCTGTCATAGATAGAAACAATATCAAGCAATGTATGATTATAAGTTTTCTGCCGATCAATAATTGATACACATTTTAAAAAATTAATAATTTTGACTAATAAAATTAAATTAATTTAACCAGGTAATTTAACTGAAATACTAAATGGACAGTAGTAAATAATTTAACTGATTATACAAATTACCTGATGTACTCTTTTTATAATAAGGTATTGTAACAGGGTACATGTAGTTTGGCGCAATTTAATGTAGCTATCCGAGCCCCTGAGGGTCAAGTAAGTTCGCGTTTGTTAAATCATTTCAACAACAGCTCTAAAATTCTATCATGTTTATACACCAATCTAATCTTCAATTACTGTAAGGTTGTTACATCAAGTAAAGGTACAAACAACACTCTGAAATAAGTATATAACAATATGTAAATGTAAAGTAAAATAAAGAAGAAACAATGCATTACATTAATTAATATCATATCTTATGTTATCTAGAACATAATCATTGTTCAATCAGTCCTTTAAACTTAGCAACAATCCTTAAATATCATATGTATAGATTAAGGAATTATACACACATTTAATATACAATACATCACATGTAACTAACTTACCATGTAAGGGGTGAGTATAGTACATCAATCTTATTACTGATACATTCTCTCTATCGCACCAGTGACTGTTAACTACAAGGTTAAATGAGCCGTGTCATGACAAAACCAACATAGTGCGTTTGCGACCAGCATGGATCCAGACCAGCCTGCGCATTCGCGCAGTCTAATCAGGATCCATGCTGTTCGCTTACAAACCCTATTACAAGTAGAGAAACTGATAGCGAACAGTATGGATCCTGATCAGACTGCGCGGATGCGCAGGCTGGTCTGGATCCATGCTGGTCGCAAACCAATTATGTTGGTTTTGTCATGACACTGCTCATTAATATTAATAGTGAATAAAAGATGAAAGATGACTTGATCAATACATGCCATTATGAAACTCATACTTATTTAAAAATTTCACAATCAATGGACTGGACCAAAATAAACAAGAATCACAATAATGCAATTCTCCATATTTACAATAAAGCATTTAGCAGCAGTCAGGATAAAATCATACCAACTTAGGAAATAAATAACTTGACCACAAACACTTTTTTTCTAACATCTTTTCTTCATAATAACAAAGACACATTGGCTTTTCCCACCAAGAAATCACATGACATATAAAATAGCTTAAAATCAACGATCGGTGAACCAATCATTTGAATTCTTAGAATACTGACCACAGATCCAATCAATGTAAACATAAGAATTTCTCTTGAAAAGTAAAAGACAAGACTGGAGATTTGTCTCTCTTTGCAAAATTATAAAATTCAACAGTAAAGCAAGAGTTTTGTCCCTTAGACCTGATACAGTATGAATAGTCTCTGATAATTTTAGAGACAAATAGTATGATACTTATGTGCCTGGAAATTGTATGGAATATATGATGTACTATGTACAAATAAAAGAAAGTTTTGTTCTGATAATTAATAATTGGTCTTCTATCTTTTAAATGTACATTATTATATGATCTAAATATAGCTGCAATCTCATTGGTCCAAACAGTAGTCAACAGAACTTTTTATAAAATCATGTACACTTGGTGCAGTATCATAATCACTGTCTGAATTGGATTTCCCAGTCTAAAAATAGATTGAGACTCATATTCAATGACCATTATACACCATAGACTGTTAATTACACGTGATAATTAAAAAAATAATTGTTGCATTTTGTTCTTTATGGCATATTTCTCGATTAAAATATCATTACTTTACTACTATACTTGAAGGCTACATCGCAATGATGAGTATAAACTTGAATTACTTTTGTATGTGCAGTGTTCACGTAGTGGCTGCACGCCTAACACCTGTGTCTTTTTTCCCGTGCTTGAACATTCAACAAGGCAAAATTTGTACATGTATATAAGGTTGTACTTTTTGTGTTTTTTATGCCCCCACAATGTGGGAGCATATAGCGTTGCACTTGTCCATCCGTCCATTCATCCGTCCGTCTGTCCGTACGTCTGTCCATACGTCCCGAAATCTTGTGAACGCAACTCCTCTTAAACTGAATGGCAGATTTTGCTTAAACTTCCAGGGATGAACAACCTTAATGTGTAGATGGTAGTAAAGGAAGGAATTTTTGCTGCGACCAAATTTAACAGAATTATGGCCCTTTGTTGATTTTTTCACTATTTACTATGTAGAAATTTTGTGAATGCAACTCCTCTTAAACCGGATGGCAGATTTCGCTTAAACTTCCTGGGATGAACAACCTTAATGTGTAGATGGTAGTAAAGGAAGGAATTTTTGCTGCGACCAAATTTAACAGAATTATGGCCCTAGCTTGTTGATTATTTCACTATATACCATATAGAAATTTTGTGAATGCAACTCCTCTTAAACTGGATGGCAGATTTTGCTTAAACTTCCAAGGATGAACAACCTTAATGTGTAGATGGTAGTAAAGGAAGGAATTTTTTCTGCGACCAAATTTAACAGAATTATGGCCCTTTGTTGATTTTTTAACTATATACCATATAGAAATTTTGTGAACGCAACTCCTCTTAAACTTGTTGGCAGATTTTGCTTAAACTTCCTGGGATGAACAACCTTAATGTGTAGATGGTATTAAAGGAAGGAATTTTTGCTGCAACCAAATTTAAGAGAATTATGGCCCTTTGTTGATTTTTTCACTATATACCATATATATGTTGTCAGTGGGGGCATCTGTACATGTGTCCTTCTAGATTTTTAATTCTTATCCTATTCATATAATAAAGCTATCGCCTCGGTCAATATGTCATCTGCCGTTGAATATCACTGACACATCATATTCAATGGCTCACTAATCAATAATTGTATATTATTTAATAACCCTTAATTCTGAAACTGAGATTGACAAACACATAATTATTAGATATTTGTTAATGATAGAATACAAAATATTTTGTTTCTTTCTTGAAATCATTTAATTCAATAAATTTGATGAGCCGTTTGCATCTTAAACAATTTTGCTAGTATTTTATGTGATTTATGACTTTTCCAAAAATCCATAAGGGATATATTCGAGCACCTTATCACTGACCAGCCAAAAAACAACTTGACACTGATAAGATTAGATTAGATTCTACCCAGACATTGTCAAATAATACTAAAACATAAAAATCAACATTTAAGTGCAAAAGGAAGACTTTATATCATAAATTTCAGAGTATTTCTTATTAGCAATGAAAATAACAAAAGGTACATTTTCTCGTGAATAGTGTTTTGCCTCCAGTTATTACATTATTTAAAAAAAAAAAAACTTCAAAAAGATATATTATTATTTAATTTTACCCATGAAATATGGTGCTATATCAGTCAAATATATTTCATATTTTTTAAAAATAAATATGAAATATAAATATGAAAGTGGGCGGAGTCAAAACTCATATTTATTTTAAGGGACTTCTTTCGCCATTTTGTTTGAAAAATCTGATAAATACAAAACAAATTTTTGTTGAATTTTGCTTTGAAAACTATCTAGAATGATAGAAAATGTTCTAACTAAGAAAATAAATCCGAACACCAATATCTTTAATTCAGTTATTAACGCTGTACAGACGTTTAAACAGTTGTTTACGTGACGTCATAATGTAGCGCCAAATATCGCGTGCAAAACAAGACGCAATAATATATTGCTGCGCGCTGTAAAATTGCAGTTGCGTAGCAAGCAATAGGGTTCGTAACCATTTTTCTTTGATAATGAAATTAAATAAAAAGGTTATTTTTATCGTTTTTCGTGAAATATGGTATATATTTTCACTCAACATGATAAAATGCCACATATTTTCACTCGCCGTCCCGGCTCGTGAAAATATGTGGCATTTAATCATGTTTCGTATATTACAAGACTTGGACAAAACCATAACTTGATTTGCACAATTGACAGCAGTGAAAACCCAAAATTAATGCAAATTTGTGTATCGAGGGGTGAAAGCGAAAAGGTTCTAACTCACTATTTTTACAAAATTCACTTTTTTA